GGGGGGGGTCCAAAAGGGCAGTCGGGACGAGGCCTCCACAGCGGGCGCCTGTGAGGGGGACGCGCCGAGGGGGAAGCCAAGGGAGAGCCCAGCCGGCCTGGCTATGCCCTTGGACCCAGTGAAACGCTGAGAGGAAGTGGACATCACAGCACGCTTGCTGGGCAGAGGTCCCGAGCTGGACAGTGGCAGGCCCAGGGGGCCAGTGGACTCCCCGTGGTGCCGGTGGCAGTGCTGTGTCTCCTGGCTGCCCCAGCACCCTGCCTCTGCCCATGGCTGGATCCCCTTCACTCCCTTCAGCCCTGCAGCTTTCCTTGCAGCTTGCCCAGGCAGGCTGGGGTAAAGGGTGAGATCACGATTAGGCCATCAGAAGCCTTCTGGGTGAAGATATCAAAACCTGAAGTGGCCAGCATGCTGCTTTGCAGCCAGAGGCAGGCGGGGGGAGCTGGCTGCAACACTGAAATTAAAAACTTAAATTAACAGGATCCAACCTTCAGGGACTCTCAGCTCTTGTTGCCACCTGCTTCTGCCACCCTTTTCAGTGCCTTCCCCAGCTCTTCCCAGCTGCCGCAGCTGCCCACCCACCGGCCCCCTGGCATTGCTACTCACCCAGTGCAGAGCTGGAGCTTGGGGACAGTCGCCACTGCCTGCACCCCCTGCTGCAAGGGCAGCTGCATGCCAGTGTGGGGCTTTCCTCTGTGCGCCCAACTCCACAGCTGTCTGGGAACATCTGTCTCACCCTCTCTGTGGTGCCAGCAAACTCATGGGAGATGCCTCACTGTGGCAAAGCCCGTCCTGGGCTTGGGGCTTCACAGCTGGGTGAGGAGTTGGGAAAAGCCAACAACCCCAGTCAGGAGGAAAATCAGCCAAATGGAGCTGCATTAAGGGCTGCTGCTTCCTGCTTCCGACGGGAGGCAGCAGGGGTGCTTCAGCCACTTTTGGGGTGTCTCTTTGGCTGCCTCATCCCTGCTCCAGTGCACTGCCATCCCCTCCATCCAAACTCTGCCACACCGTGATGGCCGAAGGTGCTTAAACACAGCTGCCAAGGTGCTGGGGCAGGCAGGGGGGAATTGGTTATTAAATTGACCAATGCAATATATTGCAATTATTTATTAAATCCACATCTGGGATTTTGGGGGTCTCCTAGCTCCAACCCTTGCTCTGAAGAAGAGACTGAGAAGAAGCTGTAGGACTATCCTCCAGGCACGTGGCCTCTGCCCCCAGGGAAGGGGCTGGGGGACACACTGGGTGATGGTGTTAGTGGCTGAGCACATGTTTTGTCATCCGTCAACAAGCCAGGCACACGCATCAAATGCATATGAAGGAAAATGCCAGAGGTAAAAGTATGGAGTCAGTGTCAGAGGCAGCAAGTGGGCTTGACATGGTGACAGTCAGGAAAGGCTGCAGCTGGTGACATGTTTGTGTTCCTGGGTCCATGCCCAGAGCGAGGTGAAAGGCCAGGCTGCTGAGCTGGGGCTGCTGGAGATCACTGCCTGCCTTTGCCAGGACCCCCACCAGTACTCAGCTTGGCTGGCTGCCACAGCAGCCCACTCCTGTCCAGGGGGGACAGCAGGGTGGTGGAGACTGCTTTTCTAGCACCCCATTACTGCAGGCACAGTTAGAGGAGCAGCCCAGCCTCCACCCGCAGTGCCTGGGCACCCTGGGCAGGGCAGAGCCCACATGCCCCATCCAGGCTCTGTGACATCTCCTGATTTGTGCCCACAAGCGCAGCACGACCAGGGAGCGGAGCTTCCCTGAGTGGTTCATCCTTGCCTTAGCCAGGACAAGCACATCTGCAGGGCTGTCAGCTTTTCCCAGCCCAATGGGGCAGAAGGAGTCACCCCACAGATCCAGCCAGCTTTCCCCTCCCTACATCTCCAAAATATATTTTCCATCTCTTGGCCTGTTAAATTGCCACCTGTGGGCAGCCCAGTCTGCACTGCCAGTCTGTGGAGGAGCAAAGTGGACCTCACAAGGAAGGAGGAGGGAAGAGGGCAGCTGGGCTCTGGACAGAAGTTCCAGCTGTCTGCAGAAAAGCCTTCCAGTGGAGCAATTCCCAGTGCCTACCAGGGTGGTATGGAGTCCCAGGCATGCAGAGCTGCCCACCATGAAAGGCAGCACGGCTGGAGTGGGGAGCAGCTCCAGGAAGGGGACCAGCAGCAGCACACAGCAAGGCAGGGACTCAGCCAGGTGACCTGGATAAGCATTATTTGCTTAATAGACATCAAAAAAAGGGCAAAAGTTTGGAGTCTGTAATTGCACTAGCACTCCCACCACATTAAGATTGAGATTTGCACAAAACAGGCAGCAACTTGTCTCCCTGGCTCCGGATTCAGGCGACTGCAGCTGCTGGGGCTTTTACTCTCCAGGTGATAACACACCAGGGTGCCTGTTGTCACCCTCCTGCTTCCCACCCATCGTAGCTGTGTACTTTAGCCCTTCTATCCCAGGAAGTACTGGAAAGCCAAAGTATTGCTGTGTTCCCCCTTCCCACACCCCCAGTTTTGCTACCACAAAACTTACCAGCTGCGCAAGAGGGATGAACCTAGGCATGCACTTCCAAAGCAAGCCCTCCCCCCCGCTGCCCTCAGTGAGCATAAGGTTTGTTTCATACTTTACCAGAACTAAATTTTGGCTGAATTAGGCCAAAAAGCTCTGCAGATTACTCACTGCCCAGCTTTAGTGCACATTGTAGAAGCAGGAGTGGAAAGCAGTAGCTTAGCACTCCCCTTTGAAAACTGAAGTCTGATCTCTGCTGAAGGGAAAGGGGCTGGAGGAAAGTAGGTTTCCTCAGAGGAGGAAGCCCGTTCTCTCTTCTTCAAGGCTCTGTACTAGAGCCAGCATCTCACCCTGATCTCAGCTTCCCCTGGGGAAGATCAGGGAAGAGGAAAGAAGTGGTTTGGGGGTTATTTTTGCTGCAAAGTCAGGAATTGGTCCGAACCACCATCCGAAATGATGCTCGCTGGAATGACCTCAGCCCCAGGAGCCTGCAGCCACCCCAGGAACTGCTGGGATCCCCTGCAAGGGAGGTGCAAGTCCACTGCTTGATTATTTTTTATTTTTTATTTTTTTTTTTAGCCAAATGCTGGGTTAAACCTGGGAATCAGTCCCATTTGGATAGATCAGTGGCTAGAGCAGCTTCACTTATACCAGAGGCAGCTTTGCTTGATGAGCAGACACCCAAACATCACATACCTCCCCGGGCATCAGCTGGCAAAGATGCAAACCTCCAAAGAAACACAGATAGGGCTGGCCTGGCTGCAGGCTCTGCAGGATGGATCCTACCACCAGTCCCTTGCACCACGCTGCTCTGCTGCACCCTAAGGATGGCACAAGCCAATCCAGCAGCCCCTGCCACACACACAGGATGTCTGCTGCTGTTTGCAAGACCCCACTAGCAAGGGCATGTTGCTACATGCAGTCTTCAGAGGTCTGACTCCTTCCCACCTCTGTCATTAAATTAACAACCCAAGCATTTGTAAAAGTGTTATTTATTAGAATATTACATTGCACTTAAAAAATAAGAGAGGTCTGACTCTGTCATCTTGACCTACATGAAGGATGCAGGGCCAGACCTACAATAAATATAAATACTATGTACAGTTTATCTAAAATAAATATATAATTTAAAATGAAAAATATCCTGTTAAATAGCTGTTACCCTCCCACCCCTCCTGCGCCTAAGAAAGCCCCAAGCCCGGTCTCCTCGCCTTTCACAGTTTGTTCCTCGGCATGCACCACAGTGGATGGAGAGCTGCTGGAGAGTCCCTCTGCCACTGGTTGGCCAGTCCTTCCTGCCTCCACACAGCTGCCTGACTGTCAAGTTCCTCTCCGGAGCCCCCTCCATCCTGGTGATGGCCACGAAGCTCCCTGCAGTGACACCGTTGCCCGACCAGCCCCGAAGCGGGTGCTGTCCTGCTGCTCCAGTGAGCTCCAGCTGCGCTGCGGGCTCCCAGGGATGGTGCTGGCTCCATGGCTCTCACCTCTTCCAGGAGGTAGAAGTGCATTAGTGCCAACCCCTACAAGACAGTGGCAGGAGAGCTCACAAAATGTCCAAGGTGCCCATCCCACCCAGCCCAGCAGGAGAGCCTTCATGGCCACCAGAGCCCCAGTGGCAACAGCCACTCGCCACCTTGTGGGGCTGGACCTGGGAGGATGTGAACTAGGATGCCAGGGGAGCAATGGCTAAGCATCCCACCCCATGTCCACCATGCTTCCCTTCCAGGGACCATAGCACTTTTTCCCCTGGACACATCCACCCAAAAATCCCCAGGGCAGAGGGGACAGTGATGAAAACCTTGTGCTGAATCCCCTTCCCCAAAATTCAACTCCTATATACAGTTAAAAATCCCACCCACCCCCAACACTATTCCAACACCACAGAAATTCTTGGAAGGTATTACTTCATCCTCACAAAGAACAAAGACTTTTTCTTTTTTTGAAAAGAGAAGTAGCTGTAATACGCATGGGCACATCTAACGTCAGGGTTTGGACCAGACCAGAGGAAGTCTGCAAGCTTTCCAGCACCCGGCCATGTGGCCACCCCTGGGATAGGACACACCCCACTGCCCAGCCAGAGTAACATCACATGGGACTGGCAGCAAGATCTCCCCATGCCCAGCTGCAACACATTACATTCGTGCAATTAATAAGCAGAGTGGGAGTGAAAAGGAAGGTTTTGGGGTTTTTTTATATGTGTATAAATAGAGGCAATATCTAAGTAGGGGAAGTGACTCAGAGGGTCAGAGAGGGAGCAGAACAAGTGGGGGGAAGAAAAAAAAAAAAAAACAACCACAAAACAAACACCACCAAAAAAAACCCCAACCAAAACCAGAAGCAGCTTCCCCACTGCCAAACATCTCCAAAGCATGATGTAACAGGGCAAAGCAGGGCTTAAGGTTAGAAAGGCGGAGGAGGTGGTAGTGGCTGGGGGCGTCAGGGGACAGGGGCTTGAGCAGGAAGGAGAGGAAACAGGGCTGGAGCCCCAGGGCAGCGCAGGCTCTCGGGCCAAATCCAGCAAGCTGTTTCTCCAGGCTCAAACTGCCTTCAGCTCCCACCTGGCTCTGGCACAGGATCCACGTAGCAGTGGCAGCGAGCCTGAACAAGGAGAGCCCCCAGGTGCCCACCAGCCCTACTGCTGCCCCAGGACTGCTGCCAGGGACTCACCTCACCAGCACCCAGCATCCTCAGTGATTCACAGTGATGCCCAGCTTGATTTTCTCTTCGTTTTCTACATCGTAGACACCTCTCTTGTGACACCTGTGAGGCCAAGCAAAGAGATGCTCAGAACACAACGAAGTCCCTGCCACCCTCCCCTGTATGTGGTCTTCCCAGGGATGTGGATCCAATGGCTCAGCCCCATCCCACTCACCTGAGCATCAGCAGAGCTGCAATGATGACAAGACACAGGGAGGACAAGATGACAGCAACGACGGCCAGTGCCGTGGTGTGGTCGTATGCGCTGGGACGGTGCTCCACAGGCAGCAAAAGGCCGTGGCATCTCTCACCATGATAACCTGGCTGGCATCTGAGCGAGAAGAAAAGTCTTAAAGGTTGGTGGTGACCAAGCACAGAAGGTCATTGGGTCCCTCATACTCCCATGGAAAGGATCCGCCACTTTGCTCAGCCTTAGCCAGCATCCTGCCTGGTCCCCCTCCCCTGAGCTGGGAGGTCTGGTGTCACCATCACCTCCCTGGTACTGGTAAATTAAGTTTCTTCTGCCCCAAGTGCTAAGTGAAGACTCCTAGAAAGGTTGAGCTCCTCCCAGTAGCTGGCACCGGGG